TAAGCCATTATGCAGTTTATTAACAGGAGACTGCAGATGACTGTGTGAAAAGCTTCTTATTAATGATTATTCGAGAAATAAAATTATGGGAAAATGAAAGTGCCATATCCAACTATAGCACAAAAATGACAGTATTTGTATGAGAGAGTAACCAATGTTAAGCACCCAGACCCAGTGGTATGGCTGCACAATACTCTCACTACACAAAACTCATGGAAACATTAACATTATCAGTCTAATAAGGTGACTGTAAAATGGCTGTTCCTGAAGGTCTGGGGTTTTTTAAAGGTTTATGTTGGTGTATTTGGTTGATATAACAAGAGAAGCCAGGAAAGCAGGAAGAGATAAATAATTAATCCGTTAAAAATGAGGTTTCTCTAACATATTAGAAATGAGAAGTGTCCACAAAACCCCCCATACAAGTGACATATTAGATATGTCAATTAAGAGATCTGAAAGAAGAAGAGAGAACCCAGTGCCAGTTTCAGTTCCTAATCACTACAGCAGAGGCCACACAGTCTCATCAGACTAAGTAAGAGGGAAGCCACCATCCTAGAAGCTGGAAAGAAAATATATTCCTCCATTCAGCTACAAAGGACCAGGATCAAGAAATGGCATGCTTGTGGAAGAGGTTCAAGTGTAATTGGAACATATGCAGTAAATTTATTGCAGTGAAATATATTCTTGGTTCTCCTACAGGGGCATTTGGCCAAGGAGAATCTCCATCCTTTACTGGACTCAGAGGAGAACATGGCTACTGAGGATAAGGAAAAGGCTGAGGTTCTTAATTACATCTGTTTTTACATCTGTTTTTATTAGTCAGACAACTTATCCTTAGGGTACTCAGCTTCCTGACCTGGAAGTCTGGGACAGGGAACAGAAGAAACCCCCCCACAGTTCTGGTGGAAACAGAGACCTGCTACTCTACCTGGACTGTCACAAGTCCATGGGGCCAGATGGGATCCACACCAGGGTGCTGAGGGAGCTGTTGGATGTGATTGCTGGACTGCTTTCCATCATCTATCAGTGATCTTGGTCAACTGGAGCAGTCCCAGATGGCTGGAGGCTTGCTAATGTGACACCCATCTATAAAAAGAATCGTAAGGAGGACCTGGACTATCACCCTGACCTCGGTGCCAGGAAAGGTGAGGGAACAGGTCATCTTGAATGCAATCACATAGCATATGTGGGACCACTGGGGGATCAGGCCCAGTCAGCATGGGTTCATGAAAGGCAAGTCCTGCCTGACCAACCTCATCTCCTTCTATGACTGGGTGACCTGCGGTGGATGAGGGAAAGGCTGTTGATGTAGTCTACATAGACGTCAGCAAAGCCTTTGACACGGTCCCACACAGTCTTCTCCTGAAGAAGCTGGCAGCCCATGGCTTGGGCAGGCACACTCTTAGCTGGATTGAAAACTGTCTGGATGGCTGGGCCCAGAGAGTGGTGGTGAATGGCGTGAAATCCAGCTGGTGACCGGTCACCAGTGGAGTTCCCCAGGAGATGGTGTTGGGGCATGTCCTGTTTGATATCTTTATTGATGATATAAATGAGGGGATTGAGCGTACCCTTGGTTAAGTTCTCAGATGACACCAAGTTGGGGGGAACTGTTGATCTGCTGGAGGGTAGGAAGGCCCTGCAGAGGGACCTGGACAGGTTGGGTCAATGGGCAGGGGCCAATGGGATGAGGTTCAACATGGCTAAGTGCTGGGTCCTGCACTTTGGCCACAACAACCCCATGCAGCGCTACAGGCCTGGGGCAGGGTGTCTGGAAAGCTGTGCAGAGGAAAAGGACCTGGGGATGTTGGTTGATGCTCGCCTGAACATGAGCCGGCAGTGTGCCCAGGTGTATCGAGAATAGTGCAGCCAGCAGGAGCAGGGAGGTGATCGTCCCCCTGTACTCTGCTCTGGTGAGGCCGCACCTCGAGTGCTGTGTTCAGCTTTGGGCCGCTCACTACCAGAAGGACATTGAGGCCCTGGAGCGTGTCCAGAGAAGGGCTACAAAGCTGGTGAAGGGCCTGAAACACAAGTCCTATGGGGAGCTGCTGAGGGCACTGGATTTTTTTAGTCTGGAGAAGAGGAGGCTCAGGGGAGACCTTATTGCTCTCTACAGGTACCTGACAGGAAGATGTGGGGAGCTGGGGGTTGGCCTCTTCTTGTAGGTAACTAGTGATAGGAACAGAGGGAATGGCCTCAAGTTGCGCCAGCGGAGGTTTAGGTTGGAAATGAGGAGACATTTCTCCTCAGAAAGAGCAGTCAGGCATTGGAATGGCTTGCCCAGAGAGGTGGTAGCATCAGTGTCCTTGGGGGTGTTCAAGGAAAGGTTGGACCTGGCACCTAGGGATATGGTTTTGTGGGGTAGTAGGGTGATGGTTGAACCAGATGATCTTGGAGGTCTTTTCCAACCTTAATGATTCTATGATTCTATGGCAGACATCTTTATACTGATCATCATTCTCATATTGTTTAACACAACCTTCCACCAAAAGGCAACATTTGACAGCAATAAGCCATTAAACTTAAGAAGACAGTGCACCTCAGCCTGGCAACTAAGATACAGTAGTGGAGAACACTCATTATCTAGACATCACTACAAACACAGTATTTATACAAACTACTCTGGGAAATAGAGAAAATGTTTCTGCTTCCAGAAATTGTACAATATGTTATATGTCTGGAATACCATGCAGAACCCCCAGAAAATCCTGAACCAAAAACCAACACATTTTTTTTTTTTTAGATTGAAAGAGAGTTTTAAAAAAGGTACACTGAAACTTCTACAACATACAAAGATAGAGAAATGGAAAATGGATTAAAAGAGCTGGAAGCAGGCTGTGTTGTTCATTTAATAGAGGGTTTCAAAGATTCTCAGAAGCAGAGTTCTGAAGTCAGATTTAATTAGCAAGACAAAAGACACTCTCCTGAAGTCCACCAAAGCCTTGCAAGGCTTTTGGATCTATTTGTACTGCACAGGAACCTGGAGTGCTTCCATCTTGTGGTTTGTAGAATGTATTCCATTGCAGTCTTTGCAAAGACTGTGCAACATCTACAATCTTCTAGACTGGCTACCATGAAGTTCAAAGCTCTGTATTTGTCCACACAACGTTGCACAGCACGGGTTTCTTCTCTGTGTTTTTTCGATCTTGCCCCTTCAAGATGTGTGAATAGTGATACAGCAACATAAGTTAAAATAGGGAGGTAAGTTAAAATGGCAGAAAGTAAAAGTGAAGATGAGGAATGTATTTTCCTCACTGCATTAAAGATGAAAGAAGATCCTCACACATGTTGCTATTCTGAATAAGCTTCATTCCCCTGCTTCTACTTTTTCAAGTACATTCTTCTCTCTCTCTCTCTCTCTCTCTCTCTTTTTGGGGGGTTGGGGTGGCAGGGAGGAGTGTGGAGGGAGTGTTAGGTATGGATATTTGAGGATTACAGCTCATACAACTGTATGTAGTGTTATGTTCTGCAGTGCTTCCTTTCAATCAATTAGCTGCAATGAAAGAAGTCAATATTTGCCAGTTTGGAGAGGATACCAAATTATTTAGGGAGACTGTCATAGATCATATTGGTGATTAGAAAATATTACCATGGAAATCCTGGCAGACATAGCTGCAGTCGCAAAGTAATCCGAGTGGCTGTGCCCTTAGTCTTTAGGAACAGCACCTTTGAAGTGGCAGTATCAATGAGCTTTGCAGTGACTAAGTAGAAGAGCAGAATTATGCTAAAGGAGGAGTGAACATATCCTACTTTCAAACTCGTATATGGTGGTGATCAACTTTAGTTTGCTGAGAAGTTGCAAAGAATTCACAGAAGGTATGCAATGGCAATATACAGGCTGCATGCCACCCATGTGTGTCAAACATGTCGACACAGCGGCATTTCACCCTAGACCTAACCGCAGTTTCCAGATGCAGGTTGGCCACTGCTGGAGGTTGGGGTTTGAGTGAATCACAGAATTGTCTAGGTTGGAAGAGACCTCCAAGATCACTGAGTCCAACCTCTGACCTAACACTAACCAGTCCTCCACTAAACCATGTCACTCAGCTCTACATCTAAATGTCTTTTAAAGACCTCCAGGGATGGTGACTCCACCACTTCCCTGAGCAGCCCATTCCAATGCCTAACAACCCTTTCGGTAAAGAAGTTCTTCCTAAGATCCAACCTAAACCTCCCCTGGCGCAACTTCAGCCCATTTCCCCTCATCCTGTCGCCAGGCACATGGGAGAACAGACCAACCCCCACCTCGCTACAGCCTCCTTTAATGTACCTATAACCACCATTACCTCCTGGTGCATTCCTGCATTACCTGCAGGCATTCTGGCAGCCTCAGGTATGCCTGATGGCACTGTGTGGTGCTGATCGATCTGGGCAACAGGCAACAAGTGGAGTGTGGTGCTGGGGGGCACAAGGTAGCGCCTGTGCAGATGGGTTTGCACACATTGGAGGTCTCTCCATTACCTGCGTCTGCTCAAGATCACGGTTTGCGAAGCCTTTTGGCTTGGGTTGGGTTCTGTGATCTCGCCTCGCATGTGCCTAAGACCCAGAAGGGCTGCCAAGGTTGCCACATGAGGACAGGTGAGGGGCAGGATCGTGGATGGTCATGGCCGGGGCCGTCAGGCTTAACCTGACAGGGCAGCCACGCTTTGAAGGCCACATAGGGCATTTGTGCCTGCATTCGACACGGGCATCGTGGATCTGGGGGAGGCTCAGCGGAGGGGAATGAGGGTAGCCAAGAGAAGACTGTTATACACGGGATTTATTTTTATTTATTTATTTTTATTTATTTATTTTGCGTTGAGGAGCAGACAAGAGGGTCAGGACGAAACGGGATTGTTTCTCTCTGTCATAAATTTCCACCTGAAAGCGAAAGCACGACACAGGAGGCGCTCGTGAAGGAAAACACTTTATTTATTATAATTTTTTTTTGTCTGTCCCCCACCCGCCGCCTCCCTCCACCTCAACACCGCCCCACCCGCAGCTCGGCGCTGGATTGCTCACGCCTCCCTCCCCCCCCCCGGGCGCGGGGCTCGATTGAGGCGGCCTTTCCCTCAGCGCCGTGCCGTGCCGTGCCGTGCCGGGCCGGGCCGTGCCGTGCCGTGCCGCCGCGATGCTGCGCTGGCTGATCGGGGGCGGCCGCGAGCCGCAGGGCCTGGCCGAGGTAGGGCGGCGGGCGGGGCCGGGGGGCCGTTGGGGCCGTTAGGGCCGTTGGCGGGGCGGGCTGGCTGAGCTCGGCCCTGCCCTGCCCTGGGCACCCCCTGTCGATGAAGGGTTTGTGGCGGAGGCTCGGTGTTGGTGCAGCCCGGGTGATTTCTGCCCTGCTTCCAGCTTCTCTCCTCGGTTTCTCGTCCGTAAAAGGGGCGCTGAGCTCAGGCGTCCCTCACGGTGCCTTCCCGGGGTGTGAAGGAGACGGCGTCGCAGTGCCCTCGTCCCTGAGTCTGCTGCATTTCTTAGCTTGGGCTTAGCAAGAGTTAATGAGCAGTTACTGGTGTTCTTTTAATGAACCCCTTTGTAGACCAGACGGATATGAGGAAGCAGTTCTTCAGCTTCTTTACGTGAGCAAGCCGTGGCAGTGTCACAAGCAGCTTGAAACACCAGTATTTACTTCAGCAGAAATTTGAGTTCATACCAGCGTGTTTTGTCAGGAGTGGCACTGACCTGTGTCATCAGCCAAAACGCTGGTTGTATTATGGTTGTATTTACCAGCTTAGCGTGCAGCATTTCGTAAAAAGAAGACAGGAAATAAATAATAGCATTCTACGCTAGAAAGCTCCACTGGTGTTTGAGAGCTCCACCTTCTCCAAAGTTTAAACTTCAGCTGTGTTTTAATTACACAGTCATTTGATAAAGCATGAGCATGAGCCAAGGTGTGGTTGAGTTCTTCCATTCTGGCACTCATGGCTCTTTTAAACCTGATCCATGGGACTTTCATTTCCATTGCTGCTGGTAGCAGTACTCATTCCATTTGCTGAACAATGGTGTTTTGGTTCTCTTTGAAAAACTGAAAAATTAATATTTATAAGGATTTGCCCTAAAAATCCTTTTTTGAGTTTTGGAAAATGGTTTCACCTAAAGATAGTCTCTGTAGCCATTCATTCTTTCTGTGCTCTTCTAGTATAGATGAGGAAGTCCCAAAGAGTGAGTAGTAGCCTGTGGATTGATTATGTTCATTTCATGTGCTATGGCTTCAGTCAGTCAGTCGCGAAGAGGCCAGGTCTGACAGCGTGCTGAGCAAATAGTAACCTCCAGGAAAGGTTTTTGATTTTAAATTCTGGAAACATAAATTTCTCGTTACCCATTTCTTGCTTTACTGTGGAATTGAAAATCATTTAGAGTTAAGCTTCTGAAGCTCTTGGGTTGATGGCCATGATATATGTTGTAAGCTGACTAGCTCAGGTAATGGAAATAGTCGTAACTGCAGCGGCATCCTAGTCCATGTAAGATGGTTTATTGTGCTACGTGAGAAGTACAGAGAGATGCCTATATACTTTCGTACCCATATTTTTTGGTAAATTGCTTTAGAAAATACAACCTTTAAATGCTTCAAATCACTAGATTTATAGGAAGCTCTGAAATTAAGTTGAGCATTGTGTTATTTTACCAATTATTGTAGTTGTGATTACAGGTCCTGCATGAAAAACTTCAAGTTGGGAATAGATTGTTAGCATCTGCATCTAATTTTTCTCTTCTAAAAACTTGGTATTGCTGCAAGTTCTATTAATAAATAATGTTTACTAAACAGTCTTCTTTAGAGAAAGAATGCACACGTAACACAAGAAAATACTAATGAGCATCTTGAGGAGAGAATGGCTTGTTATGTGAAAGAACTGGAGGAAAAAATGTTGTTTTGTTGTTCTCTGTAACACATTGCAGCACGGTACCTGTCAATATTCACAGGCATTCTTAGAACAGAATTTTAAAAAAATCAGATTAGACAGGTTCAAAAGAAGTATCACTGTCTTACAATGAAGAGGAAGAATGCCAGGGTATAGAATTAGGATGTGAATGTTACAAATTATGACTTTTTCAAAGTAGTGTTGCAATTGTTTTGTGAATGTATGTTTCTGTTAGTAAGTGAAGAAATGGAAGTCTTCTAACCACTGCAGTGCTTATGTCAGCTGTTAAGTGCTACTGAGATTTCTCAGAATTTTTAGAATGCTGGAATTCTTTTAAGGGATGTTTTGATTTGCTTTTGACAGCTGAATGCTTAGTTTCCATATTTGTCCAACTTTTCTTTATGAGGACTATACTTGCATTATTCTAAATGGGATCTGCTATTCTCACATAATTGCTTAAAATGAGGAACAGTTGCTTCATGAAATGCATCAGATAACACAAAACCAAGATGAAATCACGAGATCTAGCATTTTGACAACCTCTTCATTTTAAATATAAACACAGATTTCCTTCCTTCCTTATTAATTTTGTCATTCTTAACTTGTGAAATACAGCATCATAGTAACAATACAGAAGCAATAGAAAAAAAAATAATATTACTCCTACAAGAAAATATTGATGTTCCTGCAGATATGTTTGTTTCTCATGTAGGATTACTTCTCATTTCTGCTACAGTGTTCAGTAATTGCAGTTTTACCATGTAGTTTCTGTTGATGTCTTTGAATTATAGACAATCCTAGAAGTAAGAAAGGAAGGATAGCAGGAGAGTTCTGTCACCGAGTTTCTACCTATATGCATTTTTAAAAAAACTACATCTAATAGCAAGTTGCTTCAGAATGCAGAAGACCATAAACACAAAAATATTGTCTTATATTGAAACAAACTGGTGATTGAGATTAGCAGAACTATCATACCTTGAAATTGCAGTCCTATACAATGTTTTGTTGACCCTGCCTAGTGATCAGCTTGCTCCAAGTGATTGATAGTACTTTTAATTAATAGTCTAGTTGGGGTAATTGCAGATGCTGTTCTATAAAATGATTAATTGTTCTCTGTATTTTTCTAAGCTGTTGCCTTTGGTATTCCGTGAACAGAGTACCAGTGGATGATTTATATATTATGTAACAGAACAGCATTATTCACACTTTCAAGGTATTGGGATAATATAGGGTTATATAGAATTTTAAATTTGAATCATAGATGAAAGACATGAGAAGTTCACAAACCTCCCAGGAGGATGTGTAATTTAATGAAAATTTGAATGTGTATGTACGGAGTTCTGAAGTTGGCTCCACAAGATAGCTGGAGCCTAAATTGGATTTTCATGTTGGTGTATCGATAATTAAAGCAGTACAAAATATTTTTTAAACAGAAAATGGTATGTTATGGTTTGAAATACATGCTGTAGAAGGATATCATTAACTGGAAATAATAAGAAATGATCCTCTTTAATGATTTTCATTAAAGCAAAATTAAATTTCAGAAACCTAATTTAACTTCACATATATCTATACACTTACGTAGGAGTCTAAATGTAGATTGATAAACATTACAAAGACCTGATTAAAATAATTATGTCAGTACATAATAAATTTACTTTTTTTTTTTAATTTTAATTTTTAATTTTAGAAATCGTCTGTACAGACCATTGGTGAAGAACAAATACAAAATCCTTACACGGAGCTCCTTGTGTTGAAAGGTCATCAAGATATAGTACGATTTCTAGTACAAATAGATGATTGCAGGTATGAAATTGCATTCCAAGTTGTTTTATAACATTCTTTGGAACGCTTTGGAGAATACTTATGAAAACATAGACATATTTTTAGTTTTCTGTTTTTGCTGGGGGAGGGTGGGAAAAGACTGGAATTAAAAAGGCAAGGGGTGAACACTTTTTTTACTATATTATTACATCTTCTGGCATCTTTTGTAAGTTGTACTTTTATGAGAAGAGAATGTTGATGGAGTTATGCTTCTTGATACAAGTTCATTTGTTTGGAACAAATGAACTTGTTCAAATGAACTTTGGACAGCTGTTATTTCTCCTTCTTTTACAAAGGAATGTAAACTGCTTTTTTAGTACTGCCTAAAGCTGTGTGGTTGTTATACTTTCTTCTGAAACTCTAGTGCTTAATTCACTTAAGCTGTGGTTGATGAACTTTTTTCTGAAGTTCTCCAATCTTGAAATGTTCAGTGCTTTAATTCTGTGCAGAATGCCTACCTACTAAAATTCAAGATATGTAATATGGCAATTAGACATACCTCCTCCAATTTCCCATTTTTCAACTTGCTGTACTTCTTTGAAACCGTACAGTTCCTTTGTTTTACTTGTCCAGTTTTTAGCTTTGTGCATTTTTTGTACATTCCCTGGCATTCGTTATCAGTTCTGTCTTAGTTCCTTGTAACTAGTTACAACATTCCTGCAAATTCTGAGGAAGGAGTCATCTAAAGACTGGAAAACTGATTATGAGACAGAGGTAGTCATTAGATTTACCGTTGTCACTTTGGAAGTGTGACTAGGAGAATGAGATAAGATACTTTTATGTTAGTGTAAAATTAACCTTACATGCTCTCTCATTTAACCTAATCCTGAAAGAGAGAAGATAATTAACTACCTTAAAGTGAGGTTGTGAAGTTTTTAGTCAATAAGCATTGTGACTCTTGTCTGACATGGAAAATTAAATGGAAACCTCTGAGAACTAAGAACATAAGTAGTAGTCAGGAGACTCTTTGTTAAGGAGCCGCAGTAATTTGTTATCTTGTATGGATGAGGAACAAAAGGATATGTCTAACATGCTCTTCAATGTACTACACAAATTTAAACCAAACTCTTAACCATGCTATATCCTCGCAGTGTACAGCAGGCATTCTGTATAAATATTTGTCTACAAGATACATAATTTCCAAGATGTATATAAATTCAGAGCTTTTCAGTTTTTAGTCTTAATACCATAAACATATACCATAAAAGTTGTATGCATTTCCATAAAATTTATTTTTACATTAAAATAATCCACCGGAAGATTCATGTAAAAATGGAATATTGTTGTGATTTTTCCCACCATCCTTCTCTTTTCAGAGAAGTTGCTAAAATAAACTTTCTTCAGATTATGCCTTTCTGAAAACAGACAATGAATAATCTGCTTGGTCTTTATTGAAATACCAGAGTATTCTTAGATTGTAGGCATTTTCTGATGTAAAGAAATAGTGTACCATTTTGGGCAGCATTGTATGTAACAGGTAAATTATTGAAGCTAAACTAATAGTAATCAGTATCAAGCTAAGGCCTGAATGGCTACATTGAAGATAGGTTATGAAAGGGCATATGGATAAGAAGTAAGTTGCATAGCTGGTTAATATTCTGAGAGTTTGAGGAGTTTAATAGAGTCGCTTCACTGGACAGTAATTCAAAGGTTTATTTATGAAGAATATGGTAGTTTATGGATTGTTAAGCATCTGATAATATTTTTCACTTGGTTCTTTTCAATAAAATTAGTATTGTTACTCAGCTTCTGAAATGTTTTTATTTAGTATCTGCAGCTATTCCATTGTGTGTTTTTTGTCAACTGTTGTAAGCCAAGTTTCACGCTTCAGGTCTTTAGATAATATCATCTTATTGAGAATTTTGCAGAAGGATTTTCTTGTTTTCTCAGTGGCTCAGCTAAAACCAGTGAGTGGAAAATTTTCTCAGATTGGTTTTTGAAGATACTAAATAAATCCTGTATAAATGTAACAGAAAGCTGTTTTTTTTTCTTCTCTTCTCTTGTATTTTTTGAACATGAAGTGAGGGTTGTATTGATTGGAAGATCACTGAAGAAGGCTAAGCCTCAGCAAGAGTCTTCCAAAAAATGGACTGAGATAAAATTGCATGTAATACTCTAGCATTTGACACATTAAACTAAACAGAGTTCATAAAACATTTTAAGAATAGCTTTCTTGCTTGCTCATTTGACCATTCCTAGCTCTGTCAGGAAGCAGACAAGGTTATAGAGGATGGTGATCATGACTGGAAAAGAATCAGGTGACCCATGAAACGCCACTTTCATGAACAGGATGTATCTGTAGGATAACAGACTCCACAATATACTTCTATACTTAGACAGAAACCCTGGTTAGGTGATGAAGAGGAAAAATACAAAACAGGGCTTCATTGAACTTGTGTGCTCATGATTCATACTTGTACCTTCTTTCAAACACCAGTTTTCTCTCAGAATTTATGAAGTGACACACAGTTCCAACTTTAGTCAAGAAAGGAACTGTAATAAAAGGGGTCTTGCTGAAATGTGAGAGTCTTAATATAGCAAGTTCTTGACCTTGTGACAAAACAAGGTGTAGTACAGCTAAATGGCAAGTAAAGATAAGAAATTATTGTTATCAGAGATGTGCATGAAAGGTTGTTTTTTGCTTGGACCTTTTTAAAGAGACATGATTGGATGTAAAATAAAAGATGTGGGAAAAGTACTGTTGGCACTTTTTAACAAAAAAAATGAGGAAAGGAAGTGGGGTGGAAGGGAATTCAGCTTTATGATAGAAAACTTAATCTTTCAGGAAATTTCACAAACATCATAACTGCAAAGTAAGAGTCTAAAAGAAAGGACTTTTTTCAGTTAATGAAACCATTCACAGCTACATTAAAAAAAATGTAGTTGATATAACTTCATGACTTTCTTGCATACAATACACATCTTAGTTATCGGTGTCTTAACTGTTCAACCCTTGTCAAAGGCTTAAAACAAAATGAAAAAATAGAAGGCATGTGTATTTGCAACTAACAACTGAATTCAATTCTCTGTGGAAGATTTTACTTCTGGTTTAAGGTTTCTTAACACATATTACATCTTTACTGGGAAAGCTGATATGTTTTCTACAGCTTCAGTGTAGCTGTGGTGTTGATAAAGATGCAAATGTAGGAAGATACTTACAGATACTCACTCCAGCCTGGGGAAAAGATTGAGTTTAGATCAGATTCTGTTAATGTGAATTTAGCAGTCAAAACACTAAAAATAAAATTACTATTTTTCAGTTCTGTGGTGCACTCTTCAGCTGCATTTTTACCAAAAGCTACATTTAGCACCAAAAATGTAGGTCCTTTGCAAGTTTCTTAAGCTACTTGTAAGTGTCATAGTAGAAACTTGGCTCCTCTATTCCTGTGCTGAACTCAACGTGTGATTTGTAATTTCTTTGATGTCTTGCAGTCAGTTGGCTCTGACTGGTAGTATTTGGTTTTAAGGTGTAGTGTTACTGAGTATGTAGGATCTCTCATTAATAAACAAGAGAATTGGTTCTGTAGAGTGGACTTCTATTTATAATAATATGTCTTGCAATTCTTAAACTTTGTTCTTTATTAAGTATGTGTTGACATTAAGTATGTCCTGACTTCAAGATTTGAATTTAAAAACTAGAAACTAGTTGGGATCTATGGATATGTATTTATGTATTTATTCTTTATATCAGAGTACAATACCATATAAATATTATTCTATAATTTTTTTTCTTATGTAGCTGTTTTTCTTCTGTTCCATTACATTATGCTGTATTCAATATTATTTTCCCCCCCCTTACCAGGTTTGCATCTGCAGGGGATGATGGAATCATATTTCTGTGGAATGCTCAGGTTGGCTCTTTTTTGGGGGGGGAAGGGTAGCATGGGTGTTTCAGAAAGGGTAAAGGTTGAGGAGTTAGAATTGCCTACTAGTGAAAAAGAACTGCAGTATGGTTTCAAATCAGAGCTGCTATTTGAAAATGTAGAAGTTGGAGGGAGTCTGTCATCACTTGCAAAGAAGAGCTAAGAAAGTAAATGTGAGAAAAAAATTAAAAATTAAAGTGTATTGGGAAGGCGTAATGTTTTTACAGATACCAGGGATGAAATATGGATGTGAAAGCAGAAGTATGTATAGTATGTATGAATTTGTGACTAATGCTTCATTTAAAATGTCTTTGGTCTTCACTGTAAATGTGAAGATGCTGAACGTGGAAACAATAAATATGTAGCAAGGTCCCTAGGCTCACAAGGCTTATGTATCTATTTTAATTTTAACTATCTCTTAGAAGCTTTATTTGCGATAACTGTTTGCAGTATAACTGAAGAGACTAAATGGAGAGCTAATGCAAAACTGCATTGGAAAGACTTCAAAGTCCGTGAAAGTTAAACATTCCACATAGTGCCAAAACCAGGCCTTACTTGCTTGCAGTGATACAAATCTTATTATAGTTTTTGAAAACCTTCTAAGATAAAAGAATTATCATGGAAAATGTGCTGTGAGTACGATAACCACCTTCGTACTCCCCTGCTCTATGTCTCCATATCATTGACAAAATTACTGAGAAGGGATGAGCATTAGTCTTACACAAGGAGTCTTAGTATGCAAGCTCGTTAGGATGCTCGTTAGGAAATCTAAAAGGGGGACATAGTGTACTGACTAAACTGTAAATATCAAGCATCCTAGTTAAGGAAGACAGAAATCTCAGATTGTAAACTTTTGTGGAAACATTCTGAAGAATTTATGTTACATGGTCATGTAAATTTAAAATAAGAAAGGAGGAACTTGAAACTCTTTGTCTCTTTTGAGTGGTTTCTGTTAGTGCTTTGCTGAAGGCCTCTTATGATTCTGAAATTTGGAAAAGGAGATAATTTCTGAATATTCAAACACGTATGTGAGTATATATGTACTTAGAGATGTGAGCAGTTTATAGATGTAGAACTCATTTAGGAACAGAGTTCTATTTCCTGCTTCTGTAGGATCTTCATTACATTTTTGTTTAAACAAATCTTTCTGTAGTTTTAATTTAAAAATGATATATTTCTTTACACTTCTGGGTTGTAACTACCCTGTATTTTAGTTGCATGATTGAAGCACCAATATGCTTCTGAATATTTGTTAGGTTCTGCTATCTAACTAAACGGAGCAGAAGTAGCTGCAAACCACCAGCTTAAAACTATAGATAATTTAAATAAATCTATCAGCAAATTGACAGTACTGTGTTTGCCGTAAGATAGGTTAAGTTTTTCAAATAAGTTAAAAATTACTTTTTCTAAGAGAGGCTTTGTCAAAAAATCAGAGTTACTACAGTATTGGTTAAATAGGATGAGTGGCCAGTATTTACATTAAAGTGAAATTAGTATGATATACAGTTTAAGTGCTTCCAGAGATTTTTTTACAGTTATGGTAACATTTATTATGTAGCACTCTTTGTATTTATACTTAATATGTTGTTAAGGTAAGATCTTGAAGTGTGTTAAAGGTCTAGTAAAGGATTAAATCCACACTTGCTTGTGAAATTGGGATATTAGACTCCTAGAAGTTCTTGCTCTCAGAAGTAGTTTGGCACCTATGTCATGTGTTACAATAGGTATTTTCCAAGTTTTACCCTTAATTTCCTCTGTTTTTATTTTTCAGACTGGTGAGAAACTTTTTGAACTTCATGGACATACACAAAAAATTACAGCTATAGCACCATTTTCTTCATCAGATGCTTCCGAAGAAAAAAGTAATTTGATTTTAACAGCATCAGCTGATAAAACAGTTATTGTATCCTTAGATCTGGAAAGGATTCAAAAAAATTGTTTTTGTTTGTTTGTTTTTACTGCTAGCATTGACGCAGGCTGCAGGTTGTTTAAATTTATTGGCTGATAATATTCAGTAGGTATAATTGCGGCTAGAAGAATTCTAGTGAAATCTAATCAGATGTAAGCCCTACTAGAATAATGATCCATGGTCATGAGAGGCCATTATTAATTTGTAATTTTGGCCAAATATTGAAAAGGCTATCAGGATTTGTAAGACTGTCTCCCCACATTCTTATATCCCAAACTTTCATTTAATTAAGAACGCAGCAGTTATATTTATAGTATATAATATTGTTATGGCTTCCTTAATGAATTAAGTCAGGTTTGGGACTGCACTACTGGCAGACAGGTTCAAAAAGTGTCGTGTTTCCATTCTACAGTAAAGGTAAGCCAAGGAAACCCTAGACTGGTCAGTCTGTTGTGTGCAATCTTTTCTGTACGGATCGTGAGACATATGGGCAGGTGAATTAAAATGAGCAGCAGTATTTGGTTTAAGTGAGTGACTTAGTGAATGACTGAGAATTAGGCACAAATTGTAGTTTCTTTTTGGAACTCTTGGTTCCTTGATTTTCTTTTTGAAAGTCTATAGAACAGGTCATTTTATGGCTTAGTTTTGTTACTGGATTGGATAAAGCAACCTACAGTTAAACTAGTTCTTGAATGCTGTTAGAAAGATTCATTGAAAAATTAGGTTTTGCATTGTTGCTGGAAAAAAAGCAATGTGTAGTTAATTCTGTACTTCTCAAGAAATTAACACTTTAATACTGCATTTCTTAGTACTTACAGCTTTATTCCACTAAAGATCATGATAATTTCATTGAAAAATTCCCTGTAGAACTTTTGCAGGGGACATATATCTGATTTTTGTTCTGCAGTGTTTGACAGTTCTTCAAAGACTGGATGTATGGTTGTCTGGAGGGAGTGATCTATGTGTTTGGAACCGAAAATTAGATCTCTTGTGTAAGACCAGTCATCTTACTGATGCAGGTAAAAATGTAAATGACTCATTATAGCTGTTAAAGTGCAAGTAAAATGGATCTGTATAATGATGCAAAACCAACTTGGCAAATTCTCTTTAATTCTAATGATAACATTATGTATTAGAGCCTCTTTTTTTTTTTTTTTTTAAATGTCAAACTCAACCATTTCAAAATTAAGACTGCTTTTAATCTTCTGTGCTGTGTGAATTTTAGAGTATGTCAAATCTCAGTAACTGTAATATTTTACAATTTTATAATACTGTATTTATAATATTTTACAATAATGTGTGTTCCGATTAACTTGGTATATTACAGACCTTAGTTACTGATTTATATGTGCTTGCTGTAGTGGGGGGTGATCCTTTGCTTGCTTTCTCTGGGAAGGAGAGAAATTAATATTTCTACTGTGGTAGTATCAGTATCTAATACTTATTAAAGTTTAGCTCTGCATGTGTTTAGAGTCTCAATAATTACCACAGTATCCTTAATATTGTCTGTATTAGGACATAGACATCTCCGCTTACTTAAAATAAAAAGATTATTGATTCCCAGCTTCCACTCCTATTTCAAGTTAAGTGTTCAGAATTCTGCTATATTCTGGACCAAACCTCCTGCCTCTGCCTCCATGTGAGGTAATCTGTTCATTTCCAGTGCTGTTTGACTTTGTGAGTTATGTTTTTATTCTGTTAATAACTTCTGATGTATCAGTTAACTGTATTTTATTCTGGTCAATAAATACAATAAACGTTTTCTCCCTTCTTTTCTTTTCTTTTTTTTTTTGTTTTTTTTCAAAGGTATCAGTACTTTGGTTGAATTGCCTAAGAATTGTGTTGCGGCTGCTGTTGGCAAAGAACTAAGTGAGTATATTGCATTTATGTTAAGTCTTCATGTTCGTCTGTCATTGACTGTTTATCAGAGGTATCTGTAAAGAGCACACTGCTGGAATTGTATTGGACAAGTGAATGGTACCAAGGTGCAATTAGCGATCTTCCTCCTTTTCCTCTTATGTGACAATAAAGCAGACAGTACTGATCTCCTTCAGGAATTTCACTGAGATCTGCCACGATAAATTTTTGTCTCTATTCTTTGTTCCTACTGTTAAAGTCATCTGTCTAGATCTGATTGTGGATATCAACATTTGTCCTGAAGAAAGTTTGCAACTCATTTTCAGAGCTGCTAAATACTAGGCTTCCCTACAGCCTCTGTATCCCAAGATCAAGACCGTGCAATATTGCCAATGAAATAATATGCAGACCTATAATGAGACAATGTGATGGTTTCTGATGTTCACTTAGGAGGCAGGCTTTTCTAGGTATGCAAACACTAAATCATCTGCTAGCTGTTGGTAGGGAGTTTCTTACTAAGAGTATTTTATGAAAGTATTGAAATTTCAAAATTTCAAGTTTCAAGAGAAAAAGCATAGCACTGAGTTCACAAAACAGTAGATAAAAATTCTGATCAAAGAATCAGGAGCAAATTAAAAATGGTCATCTTGTATTTACACTTAGGTATACAATGTAAACTTCCATCTGAAGTTCCCATAGATCTTCAGAAATGCCCTTGAGTTAGCATAAAAAAATATCAAGACTGGTTAAAAAAAAGTCTTAATCCCTGGAAGTTTTGTTTGCCTCATTAGATACTATTGCGTATTTTTGAATAATAGTTTTCAGTCAGATAAGTCTTAAAGACGAATGTTTTTCTTTTAGCTTACTTATCAATAAAGCTATCTAATGCTTTTCACTTCTGCTTTCTACAACTTCTGATGTCGACCAACTTTCTCAATTTCAAAGTTGCTAGGTTAAAATGTTTTATTCTACAGTGGCTGTAACTAGAGACCTGAAGAATAACACTGTAATAAATTATTCCAATTTTGTGTGTTATAAGAAAAGCAGTTAAAGAGATGGTCATAAGTAGCTTTGCAGATCTTGCACTGACTCATTTTTAATGTTCATTAATTTGAGTCTGTCTGAAAATGATGTGTTTTACTTAAGCCTATCTATATTTTACTCTGATAAATGATAAAGCTTACTTAGACAATTTCTCTCTATCTTGGAAGTCATTTTTAGGTTGATTGCTTCCAGTGATAAGTCTGAAGGTTGGAATATCCTTGAAGTAAAACGCCTTGTTGACCATCATGATAACATCTTGTCATTGGTCAGTGTCAATGGTAAGAGGGGTTTTACAGTATTACTTGTTCTGTTAGTTATCGGTGGGATATTTCAACTATGCAGTTTTCGTTGGGACCAAACACGTAATGAAACCAAACTATAATGAAACTTCAAAACTAGTAGCTGAACCTTCTGTGTAGCTGTGAAGGTAGTGAAATGTGAAAATATAACGGCTTTATTTAAGGATTAATGGTGAAATGAAGCCAGGCAGGTTATGATTCAGAAAAAGCTCAAAAGATAAGCAGATATAGGCTGGCACCTAGGTACATTATTTACAAGCTTTGGAAGATGGTGGTGCAATCTGTGCTGCTCATCATGGCAGATCTGAAGCTCTGTCTAGGCAAAGACTGGAGGTGCCCATCCCTTTTACTTTGTTGTCTCATCTGTTTGTTGTTTTTTTTTTTTTTTTTTTGGAGTTCCCTCTGAGCCCAGGACAAAGTATTCCCACTGTGACAGAGAGTGGATATTTGTCCTTTGTCTTATTTTGTTGGCCTGTCTGTTGCATGGGATCTGTGGTACAGAGATTATAAGAAGCTGGAAAGAAGAAAACTTGGATTCAGTTAATAATGGGCAGAAAAAGACAATATTCTACCTGTTTTAAGTATTTGAGGCTGAGACATGGTTTGCTGTGTCTGAGAGGTACTGATAAACTTATCCAATGAATAGAAGGGTTTTACATATAGGCAGCATGAATTTCAAATATTTGTACACACTTCTGGTGGTGATCCTTGCTTTTGCCATACTGTGCATTGTGTCTGATAAATATTCTCTATTGTAGTTAAAATTTTACAGGAGAGAGCTCATCTCCTTTTGATCACCTAAGCTATTGTAAGTGATCAAATGAGTATCTTCTCAAAGAGTGAGAACAAACTCAGTTTGTTCTGTCAGTTACTAACTGTATATTTTATGTAGCTTCAGTCTTAACATGAGCTCTCTTACTCTACAGGGTTCTGACGTTGTGTGAAATGGATGTATTATTTTATATAGTATGATTTCTGTGTGTTTTTTTTTTTCCCCCTCTAGATTTGACTTTTGTGACAGGTTCACATGTGGGTGAGTTAATAGTTTGGGATGCAATTGACTGGACAAAGCAGGCTTCTGAGTGCAACTTCTGGGACTCCTCTGTCCATCCAGATTCACAGACAGAAATAAAGTTATCCCAAAGTCCAAATGAAACTTCAGTTCAACACTTAACATGTGATGAGGAGGTAAAAAGCTTTAAACTGAGTATACTATTTCAAGTGAGCTAGCATGACCTTACCATAGAAATCTGAGTGCTTTGCATTTTTAGTTTGGTTGTTGTTGTAAGTAACAGAAAAAAGCGTCTTTAAAATGTACACAGCTGTATTTATGCAATCAGTAGTTTTTATACAAAATTTTAATCATTGAGGTAACTGAAGGTTGTAGGGTGCAGGTGGTGTGGGAGCTAACATAACAGCTTTTTTGACTAACAAATGAAAATTTATTACCTGTTTAAAGTACCACTAGAAAAATAAGAGAATGCATTGCAATGGCATACGTATTTTGTGTGCCATGGTTATTAACATGCAACTTCCAAAATAATGCATCTCTTGAACAGTTACAGCTAAGAGCACTGTGGAATGAATCAAAGAATTGGCATGTGCAGGTGTACAGAAGTAAATAAATATCACTGCTTTTGTTCAGGCAGGCTATACTTAATTGGGAATAGCACAAAGATGGGTCCAAAATGCATTAGTCTCCTGTAATCATACTTAGGAGCTGTTCTAGGAGTGTTTGGTCAGAATACTCAGGCAGAACCCAGTTACTGTTCATGAAGCAGTAAAATTCTTGGATTATTTATGTTTGTGAAATGTACCAACTATTAATGGGAAAAGAAGAGATGTTTCATTGTTGTGGTACAGTGGAATTCTGTTCTGGAGCCTGTATGTGCATTACTGAGGAATTATTAAGAAAGAAATTCCTGGAAATGGATTCAAAGATGTGAGCTAAAACAGAATAAAAGCTGTGGAAAAGCCCCAACGTAGTCTGAGGGCCAAGTAGTCACTTGAGGTGCTTGTATGTTTATGAAAAGAGGGTTCCCCCTGCCCCCACCCCAAAAAAAAAAAAAAAAAAAGGAAAAAGAAACATTGAATGGGGATGAGGAAAAGTAAGTGTAGTTGTCTTTAATGTCTTTAAAGGTAGGATTTCCTGTTTTTTTGTTTTTTTTTGTTTTTTTTTGGGGGGTGCTTTAGTTCTGAAAGAGTAAAAGTCAGTCCTGTTCATGAGAAGTTCTGTGATTGAGCTTCATTCAAACCATTGACTCATTGCTTGAAAGCTACACAAGATAGGGTCTAAGAGGGAAAAGGAATTTTGAGAAGTAGTTCAGAAGTAGTTAAGAACATTGAATGGGATGGAAACTGAGGTTATTGAGGACTTTTCTTGCATTCGTGGAACTGAACTAAACACAAATTGCTGCAGAATTTCAGACTACATGAAGGAAAGGTGGTACTACATCCTTTAAAGAGAACGTGCATTTAGGGGAGATCTGTCTGTCAAGGTACCTTGTTGGCAGGCTTGGTAGTTAGGTAGTTAGAGAAGAACTTGTCTCATTTGTTACTGGGCTTGTAGGCATAGCATCATTCAGAAGGAAATGGGTTGGTAAAGGTTTGGCAATACTGAGGAGTGTATCTGCTATCCTCATATGTATATGTGTGTTTTTAACTTCACTGTTAAGATCAGTTTACAGTTTGTTTCTTCCTCATCTGTTATTTTCATGGGGTTGAAGATGGCCACGGTTTTGCAAAGGTTTGTGTAAAAAGAAGCATGATCTGTGAAGAGCACCTTTTCAAGAGTTAAAATGTTATATAAAACCAAAGAACCTGTCTCAATGTGGAAGACAAAAAGAGAAAAGGCTGAGATGTAGGAGTGAAAGAGTGATGTGGAAAGGACATTGAATTGACCTTTTCACAAAACTAGGAAAAGAATAAAAATGGGGTTAGCATTTTCTCCTTGATTTGGCAAAATGCTATTAGAAATCTGCACTTAATTTCAGAGGTATCAGAGCTCCCACCACAGGTGTGCATGAGAAGAAAAACGTAATTGGACAGAGCACTGAGCTATTGTATGTTCAAAGTTGCACTTCATTGCGCTTTGCTGAAGGAGAGCATTGAATGTAAAATCCTTCCAGCTCTTCACAGTATTGTAATACCTTTCTGTGAGAGAGTTCTTTTTCTACACTTCTCTTAGTGGAGCCCATGCCCTTGGGCAAGACTCTTATGTGAACCTCCAGATAAATTAAAAAAAAAAAAAAAAGTCAAAACCACAGAACAGCTTCCTGAATTCTCAGGAGTTTCCGTGATAAAAAAAGAGTTTGTCAAAACACTGATTGTTATTTTAATATAAGAATGTTTAATTGTAGAAATGTTTTAATATATTGGTATTCTTGGTTTCTATTTATACTGTAAAGTATAAGATGAAAATACAGAAATGAAATAATTGTGTAGAATGTAGATGGGTATCTGTCATTTCCACAAAAAAAAATCCATATTTTTTTCTATAACTTGTTTCTGTATGTCATAAAGCAGTAACATGAGGACAGAAACTAGCCAGATAATGTTGACAAGATGACATCATAGCACTGCTGGAAATCAATAACATGCAGGGTGATATTTCAGTGTCTGTTTTTGTAAGTTGTTCCATCGAATTTTTCTTTCCAGTGTGTGTTTGCTGCTGTTGGGAAAGGCATATACGTATATAATCTTCAAATGAAGCGTGTGATTGCCTGCCAGAGAACTGCTCATGACTCCTCTGTACTGCACATTGAGAAGCTTCCAAACAGGTACAAGTCATGATATATTTTATCATGCAATAAAGAAATGCAAAATTTGGAAGGGTGGCTAAATACAGTCTGCAAAGCTGCGTCTAATTTCTAGGGCAGGGACTTGATCTTTAGTTTGATCTGTTTTCTTAATGTAGAGCTTGTTGATCTTTTTTTGAAAATAAATAATTATAATTCAATGTGAAACAACTCTAATCTATGCTTGATGCACAGACTGTAAGTAAAATATGTTGGCTATTTGCAAATCAGACTCAAACACACTTTTGTCTGCATTGTGAAAGTACAGCTTAATGTCATGTTGCTTCTACAAAGCAAAGACGTATGGCAGATTCAGAAAATACTTCTCATTTAATATTTCAGCACTGTCTAAATGTTTTAACACAAAATAATAACTTCAAGCCTTTGTTCATTAGTGCTGAATTTCTGGCTTGAACTTATTTGTGACAGCTAAGTTAGAAATTAGTGAAAATAAAATGAACAACTGGTTAATAATCCAATCGTAGTATTTTTAGATCCTTTTATAGTCTTGTTCTATGAAGCAAAAATGTAGTAGAAACTAAAAATTAGGGTCTTGATCTTGTAAATGCATGTACTATTCTATATTGTTTATATGTAATGAAAAGGACTTTTTTGTTATTTTTCCATATGTAAAAAGTATGGTTTTGCTTAGTGAAAGTCAGTCTGTGTGCCTTTGTTTGCAGAGTCTAGATGTGTATTTCATTTTAGAGTGGTACTTATTTTTAAAAATGTGTTTTAAAATGTGTTTATTTTCCACCTATTTTGCAAGTTCATTATATTTAGTCCTGTTACAAATAGTTTATTTTGTGTGGAACATCTGGATGTCCTGCTACATAGGAGAGACACCTGACAAACTTCCTGTGTCTTTTATAAAAACTTCACCAGATGACTTGTGCAGGTAAGTATCCATGCTAGTGTTGCTTATCAACTGTTTTGACAGGCAGCTGATATCCTGTTCAGAAGATGGCAGTGTTCGCATTTGGGAGCTCCGAGAAAAGCAGCAAATGCCAGCTGAACCAGTCCCAACAGGTTTGTCTGTAGTCGGGGTGGGAGGTGGGGTGAAAAGAGCATTTAGAAGAGGAAAAGCAGGGAACGCTATACAGGTGTAGAGAGGCTTCTGAAGGCTTTGCAAGAAGTGATAAAGTCAGTATGTTCAAACAACTGAGACAGGTGTGGGAGGGAAACTAGAGAAGACATCAGGCATACAAGCCCTCCAAGGTCTGATTTGAGAATTTAGAAGGTCCTCTGAAGCAGTTATGGGCCATAAACCTTATCTAGGGTTTCCTGTTGTATTAGCTGGTGAAAAATTATTATGTCTCCTTGCAAACTTTGATCCACTTCTGCTTGTACTGGGTACCCTACCAGGCAAGAGTAAGTAGTTGCAAGATCTTAAGAGGAAAGCTAAAGGCAAACTTGAAAATGAGCAGCTGACGCACACACACACACACAAATTCTCCTTGAACTTGCAGGGACATTGGCACTCACTTGGAGACTGTACCCAACCTCACTTGCATACTAGTTGCAGTCGTCAGGGCTACTTGCTATTTTAGGAAGCATTTTCCCTAAGCATAGGCATTGCTTCTTAGTGCTTGCTTCTCTTTGACCAGGCCAGCAGCTTCCCTTGGTACTGGTAGTTGTGGGTTTGGAGAGGTGGTCTGTACAACATAATTGGTATTAAGGATTGGGAACAGTAAGGAGCTATTTTCTCATAGATTATTCTCATAGAGCATAGAATAGTTTTGAGAAGGGACCTTAAAGATCATCTAATTCTAACCTCCTTTCCATGGGCAGGGACACCTCCCAGGAAGGGACCAGGTTACTCAGAGCCCCATCCAACCTGGATTCTCCCTTCTCAAATATTTTTATTAGAGCTGTGAGTGATTTTGGTGATGTATTTAGTCTGCCCGGCTGTTCATGTGCTGGGGCACAGATAAGTGTTTTCTTGTGGAATTATCTGAAGTAGAAGTCTGTGGACAGTTTGTACAAATGAACAATACCAGAAACTTACTTGCTACCTCTATGCAGTAATCAACGCATTAGTGCAGGACATGCAGGGAAAAGATTGGCACGTCTTGTCCCTCTTCTGAGGACAAGAGACAGCTAGTCAATTTAGAAAGACAGAGCATCATGGTCCTGCATCTGCCTTCCCTGTATAGTTAGTTCATTTAAGCATTTCCTGTTTTTCCTGCTAAATGCACATATCATCTTGTTCAGATGAGTAGTTTAATATTTGTCATATTGCAAGTAAGAGCAAGAGTCAAAGTACCTATGCTTCCCTCCACCCTCAGGATGAATAACTCTGATGCAGAAATGCTGTGCAGTAAAATGCTTCTGTTATTTTGCCATGTAGACTGGCCTGCTTTTAGATTTTAACTGACTCCCATAGTTCTCTTCTTAGCTAGAAGATACACATCTTACGTGATTTTTTTTTTTCCAAAATAAAAGCTGTTTCTTCCCCTCCCAACCCCAGGATTTTTCAACATGTGGGGATTCGGAAGGGCAAACAAACAGGCAAACCAAGCTGCTAAGAAGACACAGGAGAACACAACTATGCATTTTTTGGAGCTGGTTGGTGATTTGATCGGTCATTCATCAGCTGTGCAGGTTGGTCATCTTTAGTAAGAAGAAGAAAAAGTGAATTCCATTTACTGATGTAATTTTCAAAATATTCCTTAAGCAGCTGTAACTTTTCGGCTGTCTGGCTCTGGAGGCTGGGAATATGTTTGTCACACTGTGGAGTTGTGTGGGATAACTGGGTTTTAGGTCCTTCTAACTTCACCAGAAATGAGGTGACCAGTAAATGTGCACATTGGTTATGTGGTATATGTAGCACAGTGTGAAAACAGTAAATTACAGTTCTCATTAGAACTCGAACAATGACTGATGTGTGAGGATTGTGTCTATAGGTGTATGTGTAAACACCACAGGAAATCTGGTGGCATATTGTTTTTTTTTTTTTTTTTTGTAGACTGCAAACACTACAACTGGGAACTGGATGTTTGTTCCAAATTTCATCTTAAGTTTGCAATCTAAACATGGGCTTATAGAAAAATGTAAACTATTCAGGAATTTTAGCCTAACGTGGCATTTCATGACATCTCGAACATACAGAAAGTATATGCTATAATTTTGGATACCTAACATTCAAACAGAACCATTTCAGACACATGTACTTGTTTAGTCCAGCTTTACACTGAATGTTTAAGCCAGCTGACAATATCATGTGAATACCATGCTAATAGTAATGGTTTTCTTGCAGATGTTCCTGTATTTTGGTGAACTGGGACTGGTTACATGCTCTGCTGACCACCTCATAATCTTGTGGAAGGATGGTGAACGGGAATCTAGACTACGGAGTTTAACGTTATTTCAAAAATTGGCACAGAACGGTGATTTGCAGCTCAAATTTTAAATAGCTTGAATACAGGCTAAATATCCATAAACTGGATGTGCATTAAATGTGAGTGTAAAGGAAACTCTGAGCTACTGGGAATGTGACTATCAATAAGGTTTACACTTAATGTCATGTATTATATTGGAATTTTTATGGCTACTACTCTTCTCAAAGGAGAATTTTGCATGTTGAAACTTACTTGGCTTTATCTGTCAGTAGAAATGGTGTTCCCTTAAACGACTGAAGATAACGACAACTCATTAAATAGTTTCTAGTATTATTCCTAATGTTTAAAAAATTCATGGGTGGATGTCAAAATTAAGAGTTGTTAAAAATACTTAGCTGGGTGATAACTGAAGCAGCTGGAGCTATTCCACAGTGCTCTGTGTGGAAAAGAGGCACAAGAACAAACAGAAGGCTTTCTGCTTTTTTTTTTATTTACCCTGAGCTGGTGGAAGGGGGTGGGGAGCAGAATGTGGCCCTCATAATCCATGAGGAAATGGTTGGTGACCTGCTACAGCACTTGGATGTACACAAGTTGATGGGACTGGATGGGACCCACCCGAGGGTACTGAGAGAACTGGCAGAGGAGCAGGCCAAGCTGCTTTCCATCATTTATCGGCAGTCCTGGCTATTGGGGGAAGTCCCAGTTGACTGGTGGCTAGCAAACGTGACGCCCATCTACAAGAAGGGCTGGAGGGCAGACCCAGGGAACTATAGGCCTGTCAGTTTGACCTCAGTGCCAGGGAAGCTCATGGAGCAGATTATCTTGAGTGTCATCACATGGCACTTACAGGGCAGCCAGGTGATCAGGCCCGGTCAGCATGGGTTTATGGAAGGCAGATCCTGCTTGACGAACCTGATCTCCTTCTATGACAAAGTGACGCGCTGGGTGGATGAGGGAAAGGCTGTGAATGTGGTCTACCTTGACTTCAGCAAGGCTTTTGACACCCTTCCCCACTGAATTCTCCTCAAGAAACTGGCTGCTCATGGCTTGGACTGGCGCACGCTTCGTTGGGTTAGAAACTGGCTGGATAGCCGGGCCCAAAGAGTCGTGGTGAATGGGGTCAAATCCAGTTGGAGGCCGGTCACTAGTGGCATTCCCCAGGGCTCAGTACTGGGGCCAGTCCTCTTTAATATCTTTATCGATGATCTGGATGAGGGGATCGAGTGCACCCTCAGTAAATTTGCAGATGACACCAAGATACATGCATGTGTCAGCCTGCTCAGGAAGGCTCTGCAGGAGGATCTGGAGAGGCTGGACCTATGGGCTGAGGCCAACTGCATGAAGTTCAACAAGGCCAAGTGCCGGGTCCTGCACCTAGGGCACAACAACCCCAAGCAGAGCTACAGGCTGGGGGATGAGTGGTTGGAGAGCTGCCAGGCAGAGAAGGACCTGGGAGTATTGGTTGGTAGTGTTCTGAATATGAGCCAGCAGTGTGCTCAGGTGGCCAAGAAGGCCAACAGCATCCTGGCTTGTATCAGAAACAGCGTGGCCAGCAGGGAGAGGGAAGTGATTGTCCCCCTGTACTTGGCTCCGGTGAGGCCACACCTTGAGTACTGTGTTCAGTTTTGGGCCCCTCGCTACAAGAAGGACATCGAGGTGCTCGAGTGAGTCCAGAGAAGGGCAATGAAGCTGGTGAGGGGCCTGGAGAGCAAGTCCTACGAGGAGCGGTTGAGGGAGCTGGGATTGTTCAGCCTGGAGAAAAGGAGGCTCAGGGGCGACCTTATTGCTCTCTACAGGTACCTTAAAGGAGGCAGTAGCGAGGTGGGGGTTGGCCTGTTCTCCCACGTGCCTGGTGACAGGATGAGGGGGAATGGGCTGAAGTTGCGCCAGGGGAGGTTTGGGTCAGATATTAGGAAGAACTTCTTTACCGAAAGGGTTGTTAGACATTGGAATAGGCTGCCCAGGGAAGTGGTGGAGTCACCATCCCTGGAGGTCTTTAAAAGATGTTTAGATGTAGAGCTGAGTGATACGGTTTAGTGGAGGACTTGTTGGTGTTAGGTCAGAGGTTGGACTACGTGTTCTTGGAGGTCTCTTCCAACCTAGATGATTCTGTGATTCCGCTTTGTGTAATTTATTTCTTAACACCTGAAGTCTGAAAGACTTTAGTCACTGATGGCTCATAGTTAAATTTCTACCAAAAAAAAAAAAGACAGTTTTCGTAGAATTTTTGCGTATGAAGTTACACCAAGGGTTAGAGGAAGAAAGAGAAGTAGACAATACCAGTTCATCAGGTCTGCCCATTGGTCTCTATCTAATGCATTGTTTTAGCTGGTCTTCACCAGCAAGTGTTGTGTTTTTAGCTACTCTGTGAAAGGTACAAACTGGGGGAGAGCAGCTTCTCTGGCTTTTTTTTCCTCATTTCGACTGGGAAATAATTTAGTTGTTCATAAAGTGTGTATATATGTTGTTACTAAAACTTTACAGTGAAAGCTTATAAAACTTTCTTTTCCTTTTTTTTGAGAGGCTACTGCTATCATCAGTTACAACTAGAATGGATGAACATCATCTTTTATTACCTTTTCTCCCTTTACCATGAGAACAACTATTTCATCTTTATGTGACTGCTTTTGAGTGAATACCTGGTAGAGATACAAACTTATTTCACCGAACAGTTCTAGTCACAAAACTCATTGTGCATTTTACAGGGATGTAATTCAGTCTTAAATAGTCCTACATGCATGTATAAATATTTATATCTACCAAAAGTGCCATTGTTCTTAGGCTTTGTTGGTAATAGATATCCTAAGGGACTCCTCCTTTAAAGTTCTTTTTGTTGAAAGAATTGAACAGTTTTTCACATGAACTTTGAGCGTAACAATGAACACTGTAGGGCGATACTGGCTGACTCTGGTTAAATAAGAATTTGACACTCGCTGATAAGTGCAGTGAGCGGAATTGGAGACCAGGTTAGAAATTGTACTTCCATCTAGTGTCCTTTGTCATTGTCACTTTGTCATTGGTCATAGCCAACATGGGCTCACAAAGGGAAAGTCCTGTTTAACTAACTTAATTTCCTTTTGTGACAAGGTTACCCATCTAGTTGACCCAGGGAAGCCAGTTGATGTAATCTTCTTGGGTTTCAGCAATTTTTTAGACTTTCTCACAGTATCCTTCTGGACAAAATGCCCGTACATTATACATAATATAGATACATAATACAGTGAACAATTAGGTGATGAGCTGGGCTTGAATTGTTGTAGTAAATGGGGTTACATCATGGCCTACCACTGTCTAGGGTTCCTCAAGGCTCCATTTTGGGGCCAGTACTTTTCTGTGTTTTTATAAATGGTCTGGGTGCGGGACTCAAATGCATACTATGTAAGTTTGCAAGTGATACTAAAGTAGGAGGAACTGTTGATTCCCTTGAGGGCAGAGAGGCCTTGCAGAGAGATCTTGACTAGTTAGAGGGCTGGGCAGTCACCAGCTGCATTAAGTTTAACAAGAGCAAGTGCGGATTTCTGCACCTGGGACAGGGCAGCCTTGGCTATACCTACAGACTGGGGGATGAGAGGCTGGAGAAGCAGCCCTGTGGAAAGGGATCTGGGGGTTCTGGTGGACAGCAAGCTAACATGAGCCAGCAGTGTGCCCTGGTGGTCAGGAGGGACAGCCCTACCCTGGGGTGCATCAAGGGAAGGGATTGTCCTGCTCTGCTCGGTGCTGGTGTAGCCTCACCTCTAGCACTGTGTGTGGTTTTGGGTGCTACAGTATACAAAGGACGTAAAACTATTAGAGAGCCTCCAAAGTATGGCAGAAAAGATGGTGAACAGTTTGGAGTGGAAGATGTATGAGGAGCAGCTGAGGCCCCTTGGTTTGCTCAGCCCCGAGCAGAGCAGGCTGAGGGGAGGCCTCATGGCAGCCTGCAGCTCCCTCACGAGGGGAGCGGAGGGGCAGGCGCTGAGCTCTGCTCTCTGGGGACAGTGACAGGACCCGAGGGAACGGCATGGAGCTGGGACAGGGGAGGGTCAGGCTGGGGGTTAGGGAAAGGGTCTGCACCCAGAGGGTGGTTGGGCACTGGGACAGGCTCCCCAGGGCAGTGGTCATGGCGCTGAGTCTGATGGAGTTCAAGAAATGTTTGGACAACACTGTCAGGCACATGGTGTGACTTTTGGGTGGTCCTCTGGGGACCCAGGAGTTGGACTCAATGGTCCTTGTGGGTCCCTTCCAACTTGGGATATTCTCTGATTCCTTTTAAATTTATTTTTCCAGCTCAATAAAGCAGAATTGTGTATCTTCACCTTGTGAAAATAAGTATCTCTATCAGAAATATCCTTAATATTTATACAGGGGAGAGAAAGCTATATCTGTGCACTGACAATAGCATGAAATAACAGCCTGTGAGTCTGCTGGACAGGTAGAAGTCTGACAAAAGTGGTACATGAAGATTCTTATTTCCTCTGCTCTTAAACAGGACAGCTCTTCACACTAATTACTATTTTACTTAGTCTCTGGCAGGGGAAGAAACACAGGATCTTGCAACAAACACAGATTCCACACAAACGCCTTAGCTCGTGTAACAGAACTGAGGCTGAACTTTATTTCTAAGGTTTCTTCTACCATTGATATTTTCCTCCTTGTGACAGTACTGTGACAAAAATACTGAATTGAAATGTTTTACATGGCCGTGATCTTATAGTGATGCTGTATTTAACAAAATAAATTAATATGCCAAAGCTTTGAAACTTGTGAAATTCTTTTTCTCTAATGCAAGCTGCAGTGAGCATTCAGTCATCAGAATAGATGAGATACAACCACTGAGAGCACTAGTTCTAAATAAAGTAATAGTAAAAGCAAAGAGTTTCCTGTATCAAAATCAGAGGTTCATCTGATTTGAATAAAAATCCACTGGAAATGTTGCAATATATAATAAGAAATAATGAATATATGTACTTCACCAGAAACACCATTCTTCAAATATACACAGTGCAGCATTTTAATACAAAGCAACCTGCCATAGCTATGACAAAAGTAAGGTTCTATTACAATTCTAACAAAAATACAGCTTATATACATTTCTCTGCACATACATTTTACGAATGTTTCCTTTTGTTTTCAGAACTTGGTACAAAACATACAAAAAGGTTGGTACATTATGCAAGCTACCCGCAGTAAACGACAATCACTGTCACTTCTTCCACAGCAATCTAAGCTTCTTATTTATTTATTTATTTATTTAATTTACTTGGTTTGATTCTTGATACAGTGTAGGGGAGTGGTAGAGAGTCTGCCTCAGGACCTTTCCTTTTAATGAACAAAGGACTACTTCAACTGAAGTC